CTAAAGTTTCTAACTGTTACTAAAATCTCCCCTGAAGTTTGGTGATTGCAATCGCCTCCTTTAATTTTCTAATAAAGTTGCAAGTAGACCCTCCCCCCCCTCCCCTTAGAATCCTCTAACAAGAGGCACACAAATGTCCAAAATACCCATGTAATTATTATTGAGGCTAGTTTTTGCATAACAAACAATACAAACTTTAAACATCAAAAAAAGTTTAAAATTGCAACTTTACCTTTGAGGGATTCATATGAAAGGAAAAATTATAAAATAAATCACTTTTAGAAAAGATTGGAAGGGTTTGGGGTATTGATTGATATGAAGGGAAAACTTGGAAAATAAACATTTTAGTCAAAGTAACTACATGGTTATTTTGGACATTTTCATGCCTCTTGTTATAGGATTATATGAGAAAGGTTATACTTGCAACTATGTTAAATTTCAAGAGAGGTGATTGCAATTACCAAACTTCAAGGGAGGTTTTCAGCAATGGTTAGAAACTTTAGGGGATGTTTTAGCATTTTACCCTTTAAAAACATGGGCTTCATATTGTTAAGAATAATTTTATATTTGATAAAGATCTAATTATTAGAATTATTAAATAAAAAATACCTCAAATACAAGATTTAATGTGAGAGAACATGAGTAATTATTAGCTTTTAGAATTAAATATAAGACATAATGAGAGGGAATTAAATAATGTGAAGATTATAAATGATATTACATTATTAGCTTTTAGAATTAAAGAGGGACTAAATTCAAAAATAGGGGTAGTTTAGTAAAGTTCTACACCCTCATTGGTACTTTTAATAGTATAAATAAATATATTATATGTATGTTTGTATGGATAATATAAAAGTAAATATACACAAAAAATCCGACTTCATGTGGAAATTGTAAATTACAATAAAAATTATTATTATTATTATTATTAAATTTTGTATTCTATTTCCATCATAAATAAAAATAAATTTTATTTTAATGATTATTTTTATTTAATACGATGAATATATAACATTATAAATGTTCCCAAATGTTTTAGACAAAATTCTATACTTTTTATTTTTTGTGCTTTATCTTTTTTTAATTATTTATTATTCAATTATGACACCATGAGTTTATTTGAAAAGTTGGATAATTGACCCACCACCTAGGTAGGAAAATAGTTTTGCTTTTAGATCAATTTTAAATTATATATTTCATCTACATTATATAAATAATTTGTACTTATTACACTTAATCTTTGTTCGATATAATTAATATATTAGAGACGTGTACAATTTTTTTTATGATTTTGATTATTTGTACTTTTTTTTACTTTTTAAATATTTATTATTTAACTATGACATCATCAGTTAATCCATTTGACCCAACCCATGACCCAAAAAGGAAAATAGTTTGGTTTTTAGGTTTTCTCTATTTTTTTTGTGATTCTTTTTATTTTCTAATTTTAAAATTTTATCATTTGACTATGGCATCATTTCATTTCTAGGTTGATTTTAGATTTCATATTCAATTTTCATCATTAATAAAAACACTTCTTATATTTTATACTTATTTTGTTTAGTATAATGAATATACAATATTAGAGATATATGCCCAATTATTTTGATTTTTTCTATATTTTATATCATGTCATTGTTGATTAGCTCATTTAACCCCAAATGGTTGAATTTCTTACCCACCACCGAGAGGGAAGAAAATGATTTTGTTTTCAAATTACTTTTCAAAATAATTTTTTATACTACTAAAATTAATGTTGTGGATTTAATTAGTAGAATTTAATGATGAAAAAAATATATCTCAAATATAGGATTTAATGAAAGAATATAAATTAGATATAAATTAGATATTAGATATAGGAAAATAGTTTTATTTCTAATTGGTTTTAAATTTTATATTCCGTTTCTATAATTAATAAAAAAATTTCTTATTTATCATTATTATTATTGTTTAATATGTTGAATATATGATATTAAAAACGTTCCTAAAATTTTCTTTAATTTCTATAATTTTTGAATTTTTATCTATTTTTGAATTTTTATTATTTAATTGTGACAACATGAGTTGGCCCATTTGACCCAAAATGGTTTAATTTCTTACCACCACCTAAATGAAAACATTATATTCAATGAGGGTGAATGGGAGTTAATAACTTAAATGTGAGATTTAATGAGGGAATCGAATGCATTGAATAATAGTATTCAATTTACATTTTTACCTTCACAATAAAAGAGATCATATTTCAGAAAAAGGAAGTATTTTAGTCAAGAAAAATTTCAGAAATTTTAGAGTCCATTCCTACTTTTTATAGTAGTATAGATATAGATATGTTTGGAATAACATCATATTATGATATTCAAATGTGTCAATCCAATGAAATAAATATGTTTATTGTTAATTTAAAATATCCGACAACTATAATTGGGTCTTATTAGGCCAGACCCGATAATCCAGATTATAATTGGGTCAATCCAATGAATTTATAATTTGATTATCAAATAAATAATTCAAAAAAAAAGAAAACTTTTTAACGTGCTTTTCAGTCCTTTACAAAAATAAATAATTCCAAAATGTAAAAGATCAAGGAAACAGAGACGATTGAAAGTATAAAATAAAACACAAGAGAGAAGTTGATAAATAAAATTTCAAATAATAATGATTTTTAATATATACTAGAAGGGCCCAATAACAGCACGGATTATCCAAGAAAAATAATAGAATAAAATCATAAACTAATATAAATCAACAAAGTATTTTGTGATTCTTAGACATTTTGAAGCATATACATCTTGAAACTTTATAAAGTGACGGTGGCTGAGTTGGTAGGTTCTCCAACTATTTGTAGCGGAAACTTGCAATAAAATCCCGAGTAAAATAGGAATTTATGCTCTGTTTGGTAAGAGTACAAATGTAAATATATAGAGTGCAAAATCTTATATTTTATATTATTTTGTATGTATTTATATTATACATATTTGCATTTATACTCTAAACTGAACTTTATTGTGTGACTTGTGGGAAGGCCAGTCGTATAATCAACAATCACAACCATAGGGTGCTTGGTACTGTGATGTGGAGTTCTTTGTTTCTGTTCCATGTAAGCTCATTTATGTTTCAAAAACAAATCAGAATCCATGTAACTCAATTTTAACGTTTAAAGGGCATATTTGGTTGAGCCAATTAATGAATTAAACTTGAAACAGAAAAAAAAAAATGCTTGCATTGGATTTCATACAACGTGGGAAATATCAAACCCTCAATCTGAACAAGATAGAGTTTGGGCCAAAGTGCCAAACACCTGAAGCTAAAGTATTTGAACTCTGGTGAATCCTTTTGGAGTATTAAGCTTAAGGGCTCATCCCCTCACATCTGGAGGTGTTTACTTAACTCGAGGGAGGACTTAAGTAAAGGAACACGGATGTTGATTTCAAACGGATGGGACACAAACATCTTCAATGATCCATGGGTCCCAAACTTTATACTTAACGAAGATAATTCTCAATCCAAAGGTAAAGTTGCAGATCTCATTGACTTTGACTAAGGTAAGTGGAGATCAAATTTGAGATTCCGGCTAATCCTTTAGCCCACCAAGATAAGGTTATCTGGACTTTCACTCCCAATGGCTGTTTCTCTAGTTCTTTAGCATATAGATTACTGAATGGGGAGTGTGCTGATTCTTCTTATAATTTGAACGCAGCCCCAAACATTTCTTGGAAAGAATTCTGGGCTTTCAAGGAACTCCCGCCACGTATTCACATCTTTGTTTGGAGAATTCTTCGCCCAAGTTCTTCCTCTGAAAGGAGTTCTCTCCAAGTATACAAAGAAGATTGATAATCTATGCCCCCTGTTCTGAAGTGGAGGAAGATTTGGATCACCTGTTTATTCACTGTCATTTCCTCCGTCATGTCTGGTTTGGATCATGTTTATCACTTAAGAGTAGAGGAGTGGTCACATAAAGGAGTTAAGGATTGGATTTCCTTTTGGAAGGCAATATGTAAAGTAGCATTGGAGAACTCCCCTTTTAGGCTCTCTTCGATAATTGCTGCAACCAACGCCCAAATTGAAGAGTTGATCAACCTGAAATTGAGCCATGTTACAAGTGCCGAATTCAGTCACGATCTCCCCAGAAATTTCTCGGTGCCCCTCTACCCAGCATTTCATTAAAATCAATGTGGACGGAGCTCATAACCACTCTCACTCTGGGGTTTGGATTATTCTGAGGGACCACAAAGGTGAGTTCTTATTTGGTAGAGCGGTTAACTTTCCTTATCTGATCCGGATATTTCAGAGGCTTACGCTTTCCAAGAAGGTATTCAAATGGCCAAAGACTTACAAATCATTTATGTTTGGATTGAGGGTGATGCTCAAAAGATAGAGCTCTGTTGGATGACCGACTTGACATTCCTTGGCGGTTATTCCCCATTATTCTGATTGCAGGGACCTTTTAAAAGACTTTCAGTCTACTGTTATCTCATTTAGGCCTCGTATAAGCAATAGAGTAGAACATTTAATTGCAAAATTTGCTTAGACCTCGTACAGGCAATAGAGTAGCACATTTAATTGCAAAATTTGCTTATAATCTCTCCAGGACCTTAACATTGTCGAATCCGCCTGATTTCCTTTTGCCTGTACTTGTTGAAGATATGAATGAATGAATTGCCTACGGGCTTCTTAAAAAAAACTGACATTTCTTGAATCCCAAAGACTACATTGCTTATCCTATGTGACGCCTGGTGGCACCCACATGCTTGAAACACCTGGTAATGCCTCTTGTCTTAGGCACCGTCACCTAGGTGATGTCATACTCCAGGCTTCATGTCTGAACGCCAGGCATGCTAATCTGCTTGAGTCTGGATCTCATGTATGGTCCTATAACTTGCCACGTGTCTTAAATTCAAACGATGGAATCTGTAGGTGGGTTCATCTATACAAATTTTATCTAATATATCAGAGATCAAAAATCAATATCTGCTCCTTTAAGGCATTTTCAGACAAAACGATTCAAAATCAAAAATACCTTCCCTATCACAAATTTTAACTTCAGTAAAAAATGAGAAGTTGACATTTGGATGAACATATTTGCATTACAATAATTACGTTCTTACTCATGCCAAAAAAAAAAGAAGAATTACGCTCTTACACCCACAAAATTATCACCCTGTTCTTACCAGGCTACTGTCCTATTTCTCCAATCCAACTTACTACCAGATCTGTTTCTGAAATTGACCTTTTCTCTGAATTCAAAAGCCTTCTTAAGGTAATTATTCCCTTGTTTTGATGATTTGGTCTGAGTGACACTATATTCAGTCGTAGCTCCAGCTTCTTTGATAGCTTCTGAGACTCCACAAGGTGGCAGCAATGGTGATGATGATGCTTCGGTAATAATCTGTCCCAGCATTTCAACAACCTCGCTCATCCTAGGGCGAGACTTTGGTTGCTTCAGTAGACACTTGTTAGCAAGGGACGAAAGCTTTTGAGCAGACTTAATGCAATACTGTCCTTCCAGCCGTGGGTCTATTATGAGGTGGAATTTTTTGGAGTCAGAAATATATGGTTTTATCCATTCCAAAAGCTTCTGCTCTCCCCTAGGCAGGTTTCTGTCTACTGAACGCCGTCCAGTCAAGAGCTCGTATAGGACCACCCCAAAGCTCCAAACATCACTTTTGGCAGTTAACCTGCCTGTTTGAATGTACTCTGGAGCTGCATAACCTACTGTACCTACAACCTGTTCAAAAAAAAAAAGCAGTAAACTCATTATGTGATTAGATGTTTACCAAAAATTATGTGATTAGATCTCTACAGATTATGTCAGATACATGGAGAGCCATACATATCCAGGACAAGTGGACAGACCCAACAAAGATTTTGGGCCTAAAACATCCAGCACCAGTTCACAGTTTATCTGACTGTAGCCAGCAATAGCCTCGTACACATAAAGCATAAATTTAAGTTTCTTGAGTATATTACTCCATGTGTACAAGGCAATGACAAATTGAAAGAGAGGAACAAGGGCCTCTTAATTAAAGTGGCTTCAGAATAGTTCTTCACTTCTATTTCCCAGGAATAAGAAAAACAGTAGAAACATTTAACTGGAATGTTACCACATGATACCAAGTCTCCAGCTATTAATTTCAAAAGCCAATATGGTGGATCCTAATGGGTGGGATCATGGTTCAAAGTATTGATCCTTATCATACTGTATTGTATGAAACATACTGGTTTTTGAGGTCGTCCATATGCCATATACAAGACACTGGGGACTTCTGACAAGATTTACTGATGGTAGTATGTAGGATATGATGGTGGAACGATGGGCATCCAGTGAAAATGTAAAAAACATAGTGTATCAATGCTTTGAATGCCTTGACACTTGAACAAGTAGTATCGGCCATGTCGATACTTTATTTGTATTTAATTTATTTGTATTTTCTGCCCAAACCTTAAGACTGTCTTTGGTTTGAAAGAAAATAAGAGAGAAACAGAGAGTTGAGGGAAGGTTGTTAGGAAATTTCACATATTCTGTTAACAGCTTTCCCTCAACTTTTCGTTTTTCTTATTTTCTATCAAACCAAACATAGCCTAAGAGTCCCTACTCCCTAGTTTTTTTTCTTTTGGAATTTTCATTTATGTTAGGGATGTGGAAGATGATTAGGTGGTTTCTTTCATCAATTCTCCAAGTTAGAATTTTGCATCCTCTACTTCACCAGATTCTAGAATTTGGTCTTTACCTCCCAATAGTTTTGCTTCTTCCAAGTTTTTCTTCAATGAACTGGTCTCCTCTAATTGCTTCAAACAAATTACCATGGCAATTGTTTCAAACCATTCAAGATATTCTTATTCATGTTAACTTAACATTTCGTTCTCCTGATTTCCCCAGTCAATTAGATGCCATAAGCCAACCCAGCCACAGCATAACTCTAGAGCCACCTTAGAGATCTTCCAAACCAAAATCATCTCAACAATGTTATCATAACCATCCAAGCTCTTCCCACCCAGAAATGCACCATTAGTTCAATAAGATGCCATATATAGTTTATAATATTTAAATATGCCAAAGATCTTTTTGAAAGGTGAAATTCATTAATAAAAAGAAGCAGGGGAGGGAGATGTTCTAGGGGTTACTTATGCCAAAGAATTTAACATTGGCTAAATTGATTTACCATATTTCAGAAGCAATCTAAAGGAGCAAAGTTAGTTATTACTCAAGCTCAGTTTGTTCCAACATAAAAAGGCCACAAAATTAATAATTCAACTACTATTTTTACACCTTTTTTACAGTCAAAACAAAGTTTTCCATCACTTTAACACCAAAACAAATACATCCACAAAGAAAGAGGTGGTTTTTTCGCATGGCTCTTAAGTGATATGAGAGATAAATGGAAGTCAGAACCCCAGAACTATACTCAAGGAGAACAACTTACTGATGTCAAAACATGACTGAGTCCTTCAGTTGGCCCCTGCCTAGCCAACCCAAAATCTGAAAGCTTTGCATTGAAGTCCTCATCTAATAGGATGTTTGATGTTTTAAAATCTCGAAATATTAACTGCACCAATAATAGATGAATATTAACTGCACCAATAATAGATGACCATTAACTGTCAATCAGGTTCAAAGTTGATCCTTCAATACTCCTAGGTCTTAAACCATGTTGAAGTATCAACAATCTAACCGAACTAGGATAACTTGAAAGGAAAGTGAAATCTAAGATAATATGTACCTGAAAATCCATTTCTTCATGGAGGTATGCTAGACCACGTGCTGCATCCTGGGCAATTCTTAATCTCATATCCCATGAAAGAGGTAATGGCACCTTAGAGAATAGATGATCTTCCAAGCTTTTATTGGGCATGAGTTCATATACCAGAAGCCTTTGAATTCCCCTTTCATCATCTTCAGCACAATATCCTACTAACTTGACAAGATTTGGGTGCTTCACCACACCTAAAAAGTTCACTTCTGTAACCCACTCCTTGTGCCCCTGAATAATGGGATATGAAATGGTAAATAGACAATTTGACAATCTCCAAAATATTAACTACAGTCACCACACTCATTCAGTAGTATTTACAGAAGATTTTGCATATTACAGGAGAAACATAATAGCCTGTTTCAATGATCCAAAGGGAAATCATCAGAATGCCTAAGCTACATGAGAACCATCAATACATGTTGTTCTTAATTCCACTCCTAGAGAGATTAGGGATGTTAATGAAGTACAAAAGTCCAACACCCAATCCAATCAAATTTTATAATGTACATAGTATACACACACATTAACATATAGTCATATATAACCATGTAAAGTTTATAGTTAATAAATTCTGCATTTCAAATTTATCAAATTTATTTTCATCATTCAAGTTAAAATGATTAACTTCTTAATTATTTTAAAAAGGGTTATTATTTGAAACTCCCCCTCACTTTTCTGATTTTCTCTCAAACTCACCCTGACTATCAGATTCCTCCAGAGACCCCCCCTGTTAACCATTTTCTGTTAAAAGACAAACTGTCTCTACAAGATTACCATAATACCCCTGTTCATCTCCACCCTTTCTACCAAAATATCCATAATCATTCGCTTGATCTAGAGGAGAAGGCCAAATCTTAAATCTTAAAACCTATTTCTTCTAAGAAACAAATGAGAAGGTGGAGTGAAGAACATAAAATAGGGGAAAGAAATGAACCAGGGTATCTATATCATAAAAATACTTAGTTAATAAGGTTGACTGATTGGTCAATGTTAATTTTGTCATTAAAAAAATATTAAAGAAATGAACACTTCTGTCATGGTCACTAATGGTGAACTAACAGAAAGGTAGGTATCTTATAAATAAAAGCGTCTGATGGGGGACAGGCAGGGGTCTTTGGAGGTATCAAGAAGTTGGGTAAGTTCATTGCTAAATCACTATCATAGCTCTTACTTCCTCTCTTATTCTCTCTATCGTCCTTTATTGACTCATTCTTTATATTATCAAGTTTCTACAGTCTTTGAACAACATAGCCATCTCTCTTTCCTTGATTTTTGATATGCTTTTATGTTCTGTACGATTACATTTACTGGGTATATTTAACTAAGTTTCAAACAAAGCAAGACCTTGTGGTCTGTTCCCAGCTTGGCAACAGCAACCTGGTAAAACAAATTAAGCATTATAAGCCATCTTAAACCTAACTGCACTTGTTTCCCCTTAGATATTCATAGAAACTTCATTTTATGTGACATTTACTTTAAGGGAAAAATTGTTACATTTTTTGATAAGTATTGTTAAGCATGTACTTATGAGGGGAATCAATTGTTATACTAATAAATATGGTTGAAGTACTATTTCCTTGGGGGGTGATTTGGGCACAATCCATTCTTGACAAATGGGACACATCCCTAATTATTATTCAAAAAGTACATGTCTCTAAAGGCAACAACACCCCCATATTTTCGCTTCTGTTATAAGTTATAACCAACAATTGTTTCTTTGTATTTTTACTATGGATGTCCCTAAATAGCATCCTTTTTCTTAAAGGACAAAGATATTTAGGAGAATAAGTAATCATACTACTAAATTAGATAGGCAAAATTGTCCTTGAGAAATCAGGAGGCAATTAATTGCATCTTCTTGTCTTTTGTATAAAGTTATTAGAAATGAAATGTATTTCCTCTAATAAGAAAACACACGAGTTCACACAGCTTTTCTTTGATCAGTAAAAGTAGATTTTATTATATTCAACTTGAAGATTACATCAATGTGGCATTATTACCCACCCCAAAGATATAAAAGTTTACATTTTACCCAAAACATTTGTTGTCTATTACCCCCTTGTTTAGCTAAAGCATCCACCATCCCATTTCCTGTTCTTCTCACCCATTTAAAAGTAACAATTAGCTCCCTTGTTATGCTTTCAATTTCCTGAAAAGTGTGTTCTATAAAATACATTGGATTTGATAATGAGATGACCACCTAGGAGTCCCCTTCCACCTCCAAGTGTTGGAACCCAAACTTCTTTGCAAACTTTAACCCATGAAGTAATGCCAACAATTCTGCTGTCAATTAGTAGTCACCTTGCTCTATAGGTCCTGAATATAAGGCTAGTTTGCCTTCTAAATCTCAGAAAACACCACCTAACCCAGCCATACCTTGATTACCTAACAAGCTTCCATCAAAGTTAAGTTTTACAAAGGTGATTGCCTTAGGTCTCCAATCCATGACTATTCTTTCCTTTTTTTGAGTTGAATGTGCCCCTTCCTTCCAAGTTCTCAAAACATCATTCAAAGAAAAACTTGGAAGGCTTCCACTGTTTTCACCCAATGTGCAACTTTTGTTGTTATGATATCTATGATTTCCACCTTGGACTTGCTCTTTTCATGAAAATCCTCCCATTCCTTTCTTCCCATATAGAACATACCATTGCCACCCTCACTACTTTCCACATTAACCTCCCTCTTTTCTTTAGCTGTCTCAAGAAGTTTGGGCCAAGAAGACCCACCACATCCCGAGGAGGAGTGCACCTGCACCCAAAGAGAGAACAAAAGTGCTCCCAAATACAAAGCATAAAAGGGCATAAAAGTACAGTAAATGGTTTCACCACTTGTTTTGCAAAGGAAGTACATATGAGGGGATAGGCACTTGATTGGCCTTCTTTTCTAGTTTCTACAACAAATCACAGGTGTTTACCTTCCCAAGAAAGACCTCCCAACATAGGGCCTGAATTTTAGGAGGGATTGGATTACTCCAAATCTTTCACTAGGAAGTTCACCCCCAAGGTAGTAGGATGTATTAAGTTATTGAATGAGGCAAATGTAAAAATGCCATCAGGGGAAATTAACCAAACCCTAGTGTCCTCTGTATTTTGGTTCAGGAGGACTGAATCAATCTGGACTAATAGAAGAACGAGAGGTTCACACTTCATCTCCTTAAGAACCCTTTTGAACCCAAAGTCCCAATTTAAACCAGAGGTAGAGAATACCACAAATTTAGAAATGGGTTCAGGCTTTTACTTGGATAGTGCATAAAGCAAAGGAAATTGGACCTTGAGTAGATGTTCTCCTAGCCAAAGGTTTCCCAGAACAAGACTCTATTCCCATGCCCCATGTCGAAACAAATGTGGTTAAGAAATAAAGGTTATGCCTCACATATTGCTTTCCAAGGAGAAGTTGATGTTGTATTAGAGGCTACCTTTGCATCCCAGCCATTGTTTGGCCGCCAATGTATGTTTTCAATTACCCTATGTTAAAGCCTTTCTCTTTCTATGGGATGTCTCCACAACCATTTTCCTAGGAGAGTTGTATTCTTCTGGACCATGTTTCCTATCCCAAGCCTACCGTTCTGTTTAGGCCCTACTAACTTGTTCCCATTTCACCAAGTGATCTTTCTTCTCATCGCCTGATTCCCATAAGAAGCCCCTAATAGGCTTCTCTAACTACCTAGCTATTCTAACAGGATATGGAAGGTGGACAAAAGATAGACAGGAAGATTAGCCATTGTGGCTTTGATTAAGGTTATTCTCCCTCCCATTGAAATGTATGTCTTTTCCATAGGGCTACCTTTTTAGCAAATTTCTCCACCACTAGTTTCCAGAAACAATTTGATCTTGGTTACCACCTAGAGGGAGTCCTAAATACTCCAGGGGCCAATTTTTTACTTCACAACCCAAGAGCTCTACCACTCTAAGGATTTTCTCCTCCTGCAAATTTATGCCTACAACACAAATTTTCCCCAAATTAACTCTTAGTTTTGAGAAATTCTCAAATGAGCAAATAAGTTCCTTTAAGTTTCTTAGGGAATTAAGACTATGACCATTGCATAAGAGGACTATATCATCTACAAACTACAAATGGGAAACCACAACCTCATTCCTTCCCATCCTCTAACCTCTAATCAAATTATTCAATTTAGCCTTGATGATCAATCTGCTTAAGACCTCTGTAATCAAGGTAAAAAAGAAAGGAGATAAAGGGTCTCCTTGTCTCAAACCTCTTTTCACTAGGAGAAAGCCTCTAGCAGTCTCATTAGTTAGAGTTGAATAGTGCACCGAGCTCCAGCACCCCTTAATCCACATTCTCCACCTTCCTCCCAACTCAAACTTCTCCATAATCTCAAGCAAGGGGTGAATAGGGAGTCGACCTTTTGGGCTAATTTTTAATTTTCTTTCTTTGTATTCTGTTAATGGGGAGCTAAGACATTTTATCTCCCCTCTTGTATCTATAGTTTCACAATTTTCTTATTATTAATGAAGCTGTTGTTATTGATAAAAAAAAAAATCCACAAAATCATAAGCCTTCTCTAGGTCCAATTTGTAGATGAAGCTCTTCCCTCCACTTTTCTTCTTCTTTGCTACACACTCATTTACCACTAAGATCTGGTTAACAATTTGTCTATTCTCAACAAAAGCACCTTGAAATTGTGAAATCATTGAAGGAAAACATTTTTCAGTTTGCAGATAAAACTTTAGATATTATTTTGTAGAGGCTTCCCACCAGACTTGTAGCCCTAAAATCCCTTGAGGTCTTGGCTTCCTACTTTTTGGGCATTGGAGCGATGAAGGTGACATTTGCTCTTGGAGAGATCTCCCCTTTTTGTTATGGGCCCGCGCGCAGGATCTCGTCATGGGTCGGTCCACGGTGAGAAAGCCCTGCTTTCCCTTGCGCCTTCCCTTGCGTGCAGACCCTATTGCGGAAACTGAATGGGTGATTTGTCCAAGAGACCACCCTAACTCTCCGAATGGGTGATTTGTCCAAGATACCACCCGAACTCTCCTCACTCTTTTCTTGACTGGAA